GGGGAGCGGGAGCGGAGGAGAAAGAAAAGGGGAGGTTGAGGCCAGGGCCGCGGTGGGGCCCCGTGGTGGGGCTGCGGTTCCTGCTGGGCAGTGGGGCCAGGAAGTCGCATGAGTCCCCGCCCCCGGAGACCAAGCTCTGGGCCCCGGAACCGAGAACTGTGAGCGACAAAGCGTGAAGTCGCCTCGGGGAGGCTGTTTCCCTAATTGGCGAAGCTGGCCCCGGGGATCCCTGCCGGGAGTCCCGGGGGTTTGTCGCACAGGCTGGCGGCAGTGACAGAGGTGGGACAGCGCCCTCCGTGGGGCCGCTGGCTGGGACTCCGTCGCCGGGCTCTTTCGGGTGCCACACCCTGCAAACCCCTTCCCAGCAGGTGGTGGCCTGGGGTCTCTCTTCCTCCGGTCCCTGCTCCGCCTCCCCATTCCGCGGCCACTCGGGCCATGAGCCTGACCTCGCAGGTTGGTGGCCTCGGGCCGCGCCGGATCTTTAGGGCGGGAGGAGGAAACCTCCGGGGAGGGCGTTCCCTCATGCGCCACCAGGTGGCGCCGTCAGCACGGGACAACCCAGGGTTACCGCGTGGCTGGCAGGGACTCCAAGCTCAGGACTTGGTAGCTCTGACCTCCGCCACCCTCCCGGGACCTCCAGCGGTTAGCCGCCTGGCCAGGGCTGGTCTCTTCCAAGGCCTGAGTAGCGCCAGGGGCTTGAGTCCGGCCGGGGCACTGTGTGCCACAGAATGAGCGTGGCAATAGGTGTCACTTTTGCTTTTCGGTATTTCTGGATCTCTCGGTCACCTCAGGGGGGGGTGGCAGGGCTGGGGTGGGGGCACCAGCACCTGACTGCACCCCTCAGCAGAGCCAGCAGGGAAAGGCTGTGGGACCCCGGCTGTGTGTCTGGCAGGGGGCCCTGCTTGTCCCTAACGGGTCACTCACTTCCCTCTGTCGCTGAATCTGTAAACTGAGAGCTGCGAGGGCAGCCCTGGCCAGAGCTCAGGAGCACTGGGATCAGAGTGGTCTCAGAGCTGGGATCCTTGCCCTGCTGCTGCTTCCACGTTGTGTGGCCTTGGGCAGGTGCTCTGTGCTCTCTGAACTTCAGTGCCCTCGCCTAAAGGTGAGAGGCAGAAGTAACATTTCTCAGAGTCAACAAAAGGCTTTCAGAACCACGTGTGGTGTGAACGGAGTGCCTGAGAGACGGCTAGACATCCTGGGCAGGCTGACCGGAGAAGGGACTTGGGCATCCACCAGGACAGGCATCCTGCCCAGGCCATGCACCTCCAGGGGCCTTGCCTGCCTCTGACGACCAGGAGCTCTCCCCGCTCTCAGGAGAGGAAGTGCTTAAGAAGGGGACCCTGAACTCCACGCTGCAAGTCAAGTGACACTTGAGGGGAAGAAGGCAGGGTAGAAGGATGTGGCCCTTAAAGCCCCCGGACAGCCAGGCTGGAGTCTCAGGGAGGAAGGCGGGGACATCTGAAACGGGGTGGGAGGCGGAGGCCCCTTCCCCTAGCACTCCTCCGTCCTGTGCACCCTGCCAGACGGAAGCCTCCAGGCCCCCGCTGTGCTGGGCCCCTGCACCCTCACTCGGCCTTTGGAAACCCCTCAGAGATCGGGACACTGAGGGCAAAACTATGACGTAGGCTTCGAACCTCTGCTGCCTGGCACCCAGAGGATGCTCTGCCGAGGACAGGCCAGAGGCGGCGGCCCAGCCTGGAACGCTCTATTCTGAGTGTACAGTAGACCCCTGGGGACCGTGGGGCACACGTGTGCCGCCCCCAATTCCCCACTCACTTCCTCCTCCATCAAGCCCACTCCCTCCTCTTTGAAGCCCCCGGCACCCTTCTTCCTTTGACCTCGGATTATTCCCTCTTTCCCTGACGTCTCTCTTTGCTGGAGAGGAGGCTGAGCAATGTCAGGAGCCACTTTAATCTCTGTCTCCTCATTTGTAACATGGGACTGATCGGAGCACCTGCCTCCTAGGATTGCAGTGAGGTGACAGCGGTCAGGAGATTAAAGGCCCTTGGCCAGTGTCTGGCCCTTCCTCTGAACCTCCCTGCCACCGCCGAAGGATGCCAGGTTTACCGCTGCCCCTCCTAGACCTAGCTGCCTCCAAGCTGGGTTCTTCCTGCTGCATCCTTCCCAGAAGGTGGTGCCCAGTGCAGAGCAGCACGCCGAGAAGGACAGAGGGAGGAAGTGACAGAGGGTGGCTGAGTGGCACTGTCCTGGTGATACCTCAAACTCGGCTGTGAAGGACTGACCGAAGGCCGGAGTGGCGGACCGCGGTCCCCGCAGAGCCTGATGCTTCCTCTCTTCCTCCCCTCTGCTTCCTCACCCTTCTGCCAGGGCACAGGAGTGGACCTGAGACCAATCAGGGCCGAGCTGGAGATGCTGGGCTGGCAGGGCTGCTGCCCTCGGCAGGTCCCTGTGTCTGCAGGACCACACGGGCTGTGGAGCGGCTCAGGAGCTGGGTGATGACTGAGACCTCAGCTTCCCCTTCTCCAGAACACCTGCGCCCTGTGTGTGGGCCTCTTCCCGCCCGGCCCGAGTCCAGCCGTCCCACTGAGGTGGCCGGAAGCCGGCACTATGTGAAACAGTCGCCTTTGCAGCCTATGCTCATTGGCCTGTCCAACCGTGCCAGCCTGTGTCAGCCGCAGAGCCATCAGAGGTGTGAAGACACAGATGAAGTGGCCCGCTAGGTGTGCAACAGGCCACATCCAGGGCCAGAGGAGCTGGGCGGGTGCAGGGCAGACAGGCCGGAGCAGCAGACGGGCACCTGGGCAGGCGTGGGTCAGTGCCAGTGTCGGGGGGCAGGGTTCTGTTTCTCTTCAGCCTGGCCCTCGGCCGCCTCCAGGTGCCAAGCCGGAGTGAGACGCGCAGAGGCACAGCCTGATGTCTTTAGAAGGCTCCCTGTGCACCCAGCCATTAACATGACGTCTATCACCATGGCATCGAGGTGCTTAGACAGCCGCTCCCCCCAGGAGCTGGAGCAGCGTGAAGCAGATTATCTGTGTCTCGCTGTGACACGTGCGATCATGCACCGCCGTGATGGATCAACAGTCAGTACCGCTGGGGTCCCGGCCCGCCCCCGTGCGCCCGAGCATCTTGTGTTCGTACATCTTCGGCGCCTTGTGGGTGGCCCTGCTCCCGTTTGCCACCCACCCAGGACCCACACCTCTGCCTCTCATCGTTCATGTGCGAAGTGGAGGAGGAGAAGGGACTCGGCGGAAGCACTGAACGGGGCTCCCAGCTGACATTCTGGGGCTGCAGCCAGGGTGCCCAGATGTATTTGAGGAGGCAGCAGGCTGGGGAGAAAGCCCCAGGCGTCACCGGGCCTGGCCTCCAGAGTCCCGCCCCGCACACCTGCGCTGACCCCAGGCGGGTCACCTCACCTCTTCGGGCCGTGGTTTTTCCTTTGGACCCTGGGTTTGAGCTTATTTCTCTGCAGGTTGTGGGCAGCTACCTTCCCGCCCGTGCCCCTGAGTGCCCCTGCCACTCCCGACCCAGGCAGATGTCTCCCAGGCGGCAGACCTCAGCTGTGAGGACAGGGCTGTGACTGGCCGGATGGGGAAGCAGTCCTTGTCTCACGCTGGGGGGATGGGGCTTTGAGGTTAGGGGAGGCCACAGGCAGGAGCCACATCCGAGGCAGGTGATGTCTCCTGCGTGTCCGCCTTTGGGTCCCAGGAGGCCTTGGAGCTTCTCTGGGACCAGGAATGTGGGGCTCCCACCCCTCACCCTCACGCCCGCTCCTGTCTCCCCAGCCTCTGTCAAGGAATTCTGAGTACTTCCTCGAAAGGCGGTTGTTTTAAAATTGTCTCAGAAGTGAAGCTCTAACCTGGGACTGAGGTCACTCATGAAAACCCTGTGCTCTTCTCTGTGTGGTCACCACTGTCCCCTAGACAGGGTCCCTGCTGAGGGACCCAGGAAGGCTGAAGCCCACCTGAGTTCGGCCTTGGATCCCATCCCCCGCTCTTCTCCCACCCCATGGCCTGGACGAGTCGAAGTCCCGGGCTCCTCCGTGGCGCCAGGCTGTTCCCACTCTCCGAGGGGAAATTTGGGGTTACGGACAGGGAATGCTAGGGCTGGCCTTGAAGAAGCAGAGGGTGGCCCGGGAGGAGCTTGTGGGGACACAAAAGGGAACTGCGGCTGCTAGTGCAGGCTGTTGCCTCCTGGGAGCTAAAGAGGAAGGAGGAACACTGGCCCAGCGCCAGGTGGCCCGGATGGAGAGCTGGTTTCCGGGGTGGTGGGCTCCAGCCGGCCCCCTCATGGCTGTCCGGCTCCTCCGTTTGCTCCTGGTGCCCTGGACCCTGCAGCTGGCAGGTACAGTCTGTCTCCAATCTCCCTCTCTCCCCCGCCCCTCTCCCCACACGCGTGCCAGGGCGTACTCCCGCACACATCACGGCGCCCTGCATCCAGCCACGCAGCTAATCCCCAGGGACCTGTCTCTGGGGACGCGCTGCTGGCCGTTTGAACTGCCAACTCCACAGGGGAAGCCTTCAGGGACTGAGAAGGTGTTCAGCTGATCCCTTGCCAAGGTGGCTTTTGAAGCGGTGAGGGACAGGGCTGTCCCCCCTCGTTGCCATGTTAACAGTCCCTCGGCCTAGCTTGGCCTCCTGGCCCTAAACAAGGAGACTGGGGGTTGTGTGGTAGGATCGAGTGTGGGGTCAGGGGGCAGGGACAGCCCATCGCCCGCCCAGCAAATCTTAGGTGACCGCGCCATGGCACCTCTTGGGTTGAAGCACAAGGGACAGAGCCACGAGGGACACGGCACCCGGGTGCAGTTGCCAGGGAGGAGAGGAGAGGCCAGCTGCTGGCCACCCAGAGCAAGGCAGACTGGGGCACAAAACTGCCCCACCACCAGAGAGGGTGGCACTTCCCACCTCTTGAGATACAACGGGGGTCGAGTATTTTATGACAGAGGACAGAACTGGGGCCCTTTTCCAGGCCCCAGGCTCCTGGAAGCTGGGTGGCTTGGATCCAAACCAGGCCATGGAGTGGGTGGCCATGGGGTGAGTTCATGCAGGCCAGGAAGCCTCTGGGAGTGTCCCCTGCAGGACAGCCAGCAGCAGCCCTCGCCCCACCACTCCCAGGCAGGGCTGAATGAATCCTGGGATTCCTCTGGTCCTTCTTTGGCCCAGGAAGTGGCTGGCCAGGGTCCACCGCTGAGGGGGCTTTTTACGAGGCTTCTGGGAGCTGTCTGTACCCCCATTCTGTGTCACCTCCCACCTACTTTCATGTGTATTATAAACAATTATTCTGAAGACCTTGAATTAGCCTTAATGGAGCCCTTCACAGGGTACCTACTGCCCACCCTCACAACACCCCGCAGGGCACCTAATTATCCCACCAGCACCATTTTGCAGACAGGGAAACAGAGGCCCAGGCAAGTAGAGGTCAGGTTCAGGCCCTGGTCAACCTCAGGCCAATCCAGGACATCTGGCCAGTGGGCCTGGGGCTCCTCTCCCCTTGCTTTGTGAAGAGCACTCCTAGAAGAGCCCTGGTTTTGCCGTGTGCCCGCTGTGTCATGCTCTCCCCCACCCGCATCGCAGTCTGGTGTAAAGGTGGCCAGAGCAGCTGGGTGGGGACAGAGTCTCTGAGGTCCCACTCAGTCGTTTTAACTCAATTTCCCCCAAATCCCTACTATTTCTCTTTGTGAAGTTCCTCTGCCCCCCTGCACCCCACCAGGCGACCCCACCATTGTTGGGAGAGGCTGTGCCAGGTGTTGCTGCTGCCTCAGTGGAAAAGCTCTTTTGTAACAGTGGGAACTACAAACAGAAACAGATTTCTTTGCAATATTGCAACAAACGTTATACCAAAGAGAAATGCTTCCTGCTCTTTCACAAGAGGGGAAAGCACCCCACGGTCTCCTGAGCACCACTGCAGCGGCAAACAGCCGGTTCTCTGGGTGCTGCCTACACCCCTCCAGTGCTCCTGTCTGTCTCTGGCTTTGGTTGGGGGTTTGAAGGAAGGCCCGGATCCTGCCTCTCCTGAACCCCTGCCCCACCCCACGGCATGCTACAGCCTGCTGCAACCACCCTCATCATATCCTCACTGAGGCCCACCCCACGTCCTTGGACCGTGCTGGGAAGCAACAGGACCCAACAGGATGTAGGATTCAGTGTGCAGGCCGGGGACGTGCAGCAGCCTGAGTTGGGACTCAAGCGGAGCTCTGCCTCTTGCACTGGGACTCTCGGCAAATTACTTAATGTTGCTGTCCCTCAGTTGTCTCATCTGTTAAATGTGTGCTGTAATAATGTCCAGCTTGCCACTTAGGGCATCCCGAGGACCGGGGGTCTGGCAGAGGATTAGTGCCCATCATGTCAGCGGCCAGCAGGGCCAACTGAACCCTGAGACACCTCGGTGAGCCCACAGACTCCTATCCAGGCAGCATCTTTGCTCCCAGCCCTCCTCCTCCTCCCTCTCCTACTGCTGCTGCTGTCGCTGCTGGGAGCTGGGCCTGGGCCTGCTCTCCCCTCCAGAAACCTTGGCAAGCTCTGCTGTTCTCACACTCTTCCACCAGGCCCAGGCACCCCAAAGGACTCTGCAGACTCTTGAGTTGAAGGTCCGTCCTTCCTCTTTAAAGGCTATGTACCTTTAGCTCATTTACTTAACGTTTCTGGGCCTCCATGACTTCCAAAAGCATCAGTTCCTTTTTTCTCTTGGCCCTTCCAGATCTCTGGGCTGTATTTAATTCTCAAATACCCACTGAGGAGGACAAGTTCTTGCACAGGAGGGGTTGGGGAGAGCGAGCCACAGGCCCCACGCTCCATCTGGTAGGAACTGTGGGACTCGGACTAGAGAACAGGACCTCTGGTGGAAATCGCTTATGCTGTTGGCCTCCACCACCACTGGCTCTGACCTCAGGTGGGACCACTACCTTTGTTGTCCAAAAGCTGTATTGATGCTCTGCCTTTTCTGGGCCAGGGATTCCTGCTTCCCTTCCTGCTGCTCTGGGCTCTGTCACCATTGCCCTCTGCTTCTTTTCATCTTTGTCTAATGCTAATAAAGAGATCAGGAGGCAGAGGCAGGTGGAGATGGGGCCAGGAGTGCTGGAAAGGTTACTGGCTGGAGGGGCCCTGTGACAGGAGGAGGATGAGCAGGTGGGGTAGGGGGCACACAGCATGCATAAAGGCTGGGAGGCCAGACCGCAGCGCTGGGGGAAGGACTAGTGAGAGGTTCTGTTGGAGTGGAGAGTCTCTCACCGAGCAGTACAGTGCATGACCATTTCTAGAGGATTATGAATGCCTGCGGGGTGAGGGTTCAGATACCCATCCTATCCTTTGTCTTCTCCTTTGTGATTGTGAAAAATAAAACAGAAGAGTACAGCGCTGCATAATAAATGCTATAAAACTAAGCTCTGTGTGACTACTACACATGCCAAGAAAGAAGAGAACATTCTGGTTCGTTCCAGAGTGTTCTAGAACATTCCTTCTAAGACACCCTCTCTGAGGATAGCCTCAGGGGTATCACCTCTTGCTAGGGCAATCATTGCTGGCATTTCTTTGTAGTTTTATCATTTAGTGCACCTCACTTAACTATGTAGACTGTTTTCTTTATTTTGTTTTTTGGTTCTGGGGATGGAGCCCAGAGCAAGCATTCTTCCACTGAGCTACTACCCAGTTTGCTGGTGTTTGAACTTGTTATAATTGGAATGATGCTGAGTGTGTTCTTTTGTGATGTGCTTCCTTCATTCAACTTTTTGCCTTTTTAAGGCATGTGGAGTTGATGGTGTGGCTGAAATTTGTTTTCATGGCCATAGAGCAAGAGTAGCAAACCACAGCCCTCAAGCTAAATCCAGCCTTTGCCTCTTTTGATATGGTGTGAAGGTTATGAGTGACTTCTTATATTTTTGATTGGTTGGGAAAAAAAGAATATTTTGTGACATGTAAAAATTATACAAAATTCAAAATTTCCGTATCCATAAAGTTCTGTTGGAACACAGTCACACATACTTGTTTACAGGCTATGTGTGGCTTCTGGCTACACGGTAGAGTTGAGAAGCTGGAATAAAGACAGCATGGTCCAGAAAGAAGCCCGCGATGCTCAACCCCCATCTCTGTGGAGAACACGTTGGTCGACTCCTGCTGAGGGGTAGCCCAGTGAATGAATCTGCTGCAATGTCTTTAGTGACCCTGGGCATTTCAGGGGCTTCCTGTTTGGAGGTGTGTGTGTGTGTGTGTGTGACACGACTTTGGGCCTATGTTTCCACTGAAGTTACTTTTCTGTGTTTGGGTGGTGAGTGTTCACAGGGCAGGGACTGCATGGACTCATGTGGTTTCACATCCCTGGCACTGGCAGGGGCCTGGCACCTGGGGAATGCTCAGGAAAGAGTAATGATAACAAATGCTAGCATTTGGCCCTGGGAGTTGTAAGCAGGGTGGAGAAGGAATGCCATCAGGAAGTGCAGACAGAGGGAGGAAGAGACAGAAGGTCTAGGTGGTCATCCAGGTCTAGGAACCCTCTTGGGCCCTGGCTTCTCTCCAGCACAGAGCACCAAGGCCCAATTGTGATTGAGAGGTGGGCATGGGGTGCTGGGGAACCTCAGATATGGAGATAGGATCTCCCCTGTCCCTGCTCACCAGCATCGATAGGCCCTCAGCACCAGTGCAGGCTCAGGGTCTGGTACCTGGGACCCCCAGGGAGGGGCTGTGATGCAGGGTCTGAGAGCTTGGTGGGGGGCAGGACTTGGTCTCCACTTCCACAGGGTAGGGTGAGTGTGTGTTCTGCCCTCCAGTCTCTCTGGGCCCAATGGCTGTCTCCTGCTGCTCAGGATTCTCAAAGTCTGAGGATCTCCCCACAGCCTCCCCAGGTCCCCTGTAGTTCTGGTGACTCACAGTCCCTGGACACAGCTGTATTGTAGCCCTGGCATTGACAGAACAGGAGCTCCTGCTGGCCCAGAGCTGGAAGGACCTCGGCCAACAGTGCTGTGGGTGTCTTGGCTAGAGCTTGGGAGCTCCTACCTCTGAGGGTCCATTTGATAAGTGGCGGCACCTGGGGACTTAAGTCGAGGGGCTGGGGGTTGCACAGGTGTCAGGAAGAGCCGGAAGAGGCTGTGTGATAGACCTGGCTGGGTGTCTGCCAGACACCCAGACACCGTGTCACCGACACGGTGGGGAAAGAGGAGCCTGGAGCCAGAGCCCTCTGAGGCCCAGGGCCAGGTCCTGCTGGGTGCTGATGGCCAAGGCAGGGGCACACTGAGCCAAGGCAGGGACGGCCTCCCACTGGGTAGGCCGGTCCTCACACAGTCGGTTGGACACTGGCCTACAGCACTGGTCAGAGGGTCATTTCTGAAGGCCTAGGCGATGCACCATATTTCAAAT